GTGAATTTGTTTTATTAACAATTATAAATATTTATAAAACTTTCCGAAATATCATCGCGCTTTATTTCTTTGGTGGTAGAAATCATTTAGTAACTCCCGTCACCCACGGGTTATTGTGGGGTTAAATTAAATGTGTTAAATTACAGTGATTCGCTTGATAATATAGTGGTATCATCATTTAGTGCCAAATTGCAAAAGCGAGCCAGTGTTAAAGGAGAAGTTCACGGATCATAGTGAAGTTGTATACGGGTGGTATTCATCCTATAAGGCTTGTGATTGGTCAATTTGTTGTTTTCAGTCGCCATTTGAAATTTATAAACATTCATAAATATTTTATATACAAAATCACGATTTCATGAAACCTGGTGTATATCAGCAAATACATATTTTCGAATGGAGTAAGCATGCTGCTGTTGTTTGTCAAACCGAAATATACAGCAAGATATGTAGATGGTGTAGGTTTCAATCACGCGTCGTTTTATTGGGTGATGTTGAGGTGTAGCTGATAACCAGAGGGATATGACAGGCGTTGGGGAAAGTTTGAAAATCATAATGCGACATTGCCAAAAGTTTCTTTTGTGGGATTTGTAGTTTGGTCAATGTATGTTTTAGGCGGTTAATTAAGAGCGAAGTATTCATCACATTCAACTGACAGCAAATTCTATTTGTAATGTTTGCCATGAGTTCGTTTTTACTGTGACAATTAATGGCTTAAATCACCAAATAAATAGAAAGAGCCAACACTGTTTAGTCGCCTTGTCAGATATGCTAAGATGCCAATAACGTATTCTATTATGTATGACATATACGTTTTATTGAACATTCAAGAGAAACATTGATGAATGAAACTTTAAAGAACAGGTCTCTGGACAGTTGTATTTGATAATCTAATAACAGATTCGACATATCAAAAAAAATAATACTCTTTGATTGATTATCAGTTAAATATCATGGGATTAGTGAGAGAGACAGAATCGGCGCTTGATTGATTACCATGAAGAAAATATGTAGGTTAATTCAGGCGTGTATTGCTCATGTTTTTAGTTCGAATTCTTGGTCCGTTCATATTTTTTCTAGTTGTAATAATTAGGGGATTTTTTCCTGCGATTTCGATACGTATCACAAGACAAACACGCAATTCTATACGCACAGACATGCACTCCATCTATCTGAAACACATTAGTGTACTGTGCAATAATATCTTTGCAGCGAGACATTGATTATCACTTGAGAGTCAGTCATAGTGATGAGATAATTGCAATTACTTTGTGACGCATGACAGATGGCTCTTATATCTCGTCGGAAGTCAAAATCGATTAAACGGTTTATGTTCTATATTTTTGGTGTACTTCATATTTTCAAACAGAAATAAACAAATGAGACAAAATGACCTCAATAATTCCAAATGAATATGCATAAGATATATTCTTAGAACGTACTCATAATCTATATAACTGGGAAGGAAGGTTACACTCAAACAGAAATTATTTTTCAAAATTACTCTTTACATGTAATCATCATAAATATACTCACCCAACTCAAGTAACTTTGTTTTACCTAATTATCTATTCCAGATACGTGTTTTATAGGCACGACATTAGCTAACAACTTAGTGATTATTAGTGTATTGGTAATATGTTATATTATGTATAAATGTAGTCTTAAGATATCGCAGAATGTAATAAAAAGTGATTTTAAAATATCAAAAAAACATGACTTACTTCCTTGTTTATGTTTTGAATTTAGTTGGTTAGCGTGTTTCAAACTCAAATATCGACCGAAGTTTGTGTCCAACAGATTTGAAATTTTCACACTATGTAGTGTAGATGGGGTTACTCTAAACAAATGTCCATTCTTTTTTATACTGTGTTTTGTTTTCATACAAATACTAAGAAGTATTAAATACTTGAGCAGTTCCAATTACGTGGTCTGTTCGATACGATGATATACGTAAACAAAACACCCTATCAACAATCTTGAAGTAAAATGAAGTAAGTAAAGTAATTACTAAAGTTCGAAGAAAGTTGCGCATACTAAAGTAAAGTAAAAATAAAGTAGTTATAACTCTCACATAAACACATTAATTTCGTGTACATGCTATCATCTGTAAATATGAGATTTGAATACCAGCTGATTATTCAGTATCCTTTTTGTCTGCAGGTTTAGCGAGATGATGGAACTACGCCCTCCAGTGGTCACTGTTGCGATTATTTTTGCAATGCTGTATCGACGTTGGCTGACAACCAGAAAATGGAAAGTCAACAGCTTCGGAATTGTGGATACTTTCGTTTTCCTGTGTACAGTGTGTCATTGCGGTCTTGCAGGGAACATTGTGAAACATATCGCAGATGAATTTGCGCGCCGAACTCAAGGCACCTGAATATGTGGATAAACCAAGCACAAATGAACGCATTATTCTGGTTGTTTCATACATTCAAAAGTTCATGTAAAAACGAGTTACATTAGATCGGCGTTTGTGAAATCCATATCTAGGAAGCAATAACAACATTGTTAGGTCAATTTTTCAACCCCTCTCCCGGCACAACTCATCGAACTTGAAATCATTGGTTCGATTAATGAGTGTTGTTCTTCAAAAAATGTCCCATTTAAATAGTAAGGTGAAAGTTCTACTGGAGAACAGTAACACAATAATAAATATGTATTATTAGGAACTAGTAAACATGCATTGTTTAGAACAAAACAACTTGTAAACAGGTATTGTTTCGATGAAGAAAGTGTATTTCCCCAGTGAAAGCCGGGGTATTTAAAACCGAAATTGTCATCTAAATGTAAGGCCGTCGCTGATTGGCTGCTGAGCTGGAATGCCAATTTTTAGTTTCAAATACTCCAGGAAAGTGTTCTAGGTTCTTCGTGTAATTAGGTGTTCGTATGCAAGGGAATTTTCCACACAAAAACGACGAATTCGACCGAATTTTGTTATCGGTTGGCTTAATATAACACCAACGGACCGTATTTTTGTGAAAAATTGGTATTTTTGCCCTGATTTGTGGGAATCTGAAAACGCGTTTTACAACTTGTCTCTTATTTAGTTTTATGCGTCATTCAAGATGGCGGCCCCCATATAGTAAATATCGTATTTATTTTATTATCACGTGTGCGCCAGCTGACTGTGGTAACATGCAAATACTTCTGATTGGATATTTTGCACTCACTTAATATGTGCATTTCCAATTTCTAGAAATCGATTGCAAATATGCATTTACTATTAAATTATTATTATGGAATTATTATTTCTTTTGACAGACAAGTCTGCCCCTAGTACTATTACCCTACCCATAGCAACATAGTTCAACAGCATGTCAGATGCAAGCCAATCATTGCTGGTTTTAGATGTATTTATCAATGTTCTCATTTATTTATCTTTATTGTCTTGACTGTAAATCCTTTTCTGAATTTGGTTTGTTTTTGTAAATATTGTTATAGAGTGTTGACCCTCATAAATTCAAGTTATTATATGAAATTATCAAACTTTACATTTAAAAATATACAATGAATTGATTTTTCAGAATAATTTTGTTTTGCAGAGCAACATAATGGTATTTAATTGAAGTTTGGTTTAATTTGAGTTCAGTATTCGGCATTAGTTTCCACCGCAATGATTATCAGGCGTTGAAAATGCCCGGATGTCCGCCCGAGAATAATCA